AATAATCCAATAGAACCCCTGATGGTGCTGTTATTTACCCTAAAATGTTTTGCTACTGAAGGAAACCCCACAACATAATACAGCCCTTATCATGCATTAACATATGGATAATCATTTACAGGTCATGCTAATTTTCTGCCCCGAAATAAATTTTAAAGATGCTTGTTCTACCTCTTATATTGCTTGTACCAAACAGCAAAAGGAGGCCATGTATTTGGATTACGAACACATTCTCTCTCTGTAGCTCAGCATATCTGCATTTACTCCTGAATAAATATTGGTTGCTTGGCTACTTCTCTGATGAATGCAGTTGTTCCCCACCCTGTTATATTAGATTGACAGCTATGTTTACAAGGTTTGTAGATTCCCCACATTCGTTCATCACATGTGTAAAGCTTAAAATGTTGGTTTACATTCTGAATCTGCTTTAAATGCTTCCACAATTTTTCTTCTGGCTTGTTTGTAGTGCTACATTATTTTAATGTTGCCGTTTTTTTTTCCACTAAGACCTTAACCGCACATCTGTATTTGTACAAAGATGAGATTACGCACAACAAGTGGACTCTTTTTACAAATGAGATACCATTGTAAGGCAGAGGAATTTTTTTAGAGGTTTATAATGAAGAAGGTTATGCACATAATTATACCACAGTTTATGGATTTAAAAAATAAGTAAAACATTTTACACTTAACAATAATGCTCTAATTTGTAGTTTTCTTTTCTATAAAATCCTAATAAAATACTTTGCAGTTTATGGCTGCACTATGAGAGTGTGCAAGGCTCTGTATATAGCAGGGTTCTCTTGCAGGCAGTTACAATTTCCTTCTTCAATTAAAAACATGCTTCATAATTTATGTAAGAAAAAACATTGTTGTTTTGTTTTTGCTCTGAGGATATCCGATAGCATCCTCTTCCTGCTTTTCAAAAATGCCTGAAACTTCAGCTGTATGCGGTGGTGATTGTCCAAGACTGAATAGTTGGTAGCATATAAGCATTGCTTTAGGCAATCCTCAGGCACACAAAATTTGCACAATTTAATCAAATGTGCAAACAATGTTTAATCTAAATCTAAAGTTAATGTCATGCAAGCTTACCATGCACTTTATTATGTGAAGCATAAACAGTGGACTGAGTGGCAGGAACATGGCATTATGTGCTATAATAAATGGAGTAATCAGAGTGCTACTCACATAAGGAAACACTTTCTATTGTCTTCACTTTTTATGCGCTTTCTTTTTTAGGTCAACCACATTATTGCGCCCTCTCATTGACATGTTGTAGTGCTCAACTCCCTCCTCTCTGTAATCATAAACTCTTGACATCATTGACCTCTTTAGTATTTTCAAACTCTTCTGTTTCACTTCACTCTGACACCAAGTCTTAAGAATCAAACTGGTCCGGTTTAGACAAAAAAAAAAAAAAAAGCTGGCTGAGGTGTCCCTTGCCAATAGCAAATATAAACATAGCCCTGCCATTATCTGCTGCAGTTAACCAGGATCATGTTTTCTCCCCTGTCTACTTGTGCTGCCTGTAGATGTGGCCATAGCTGCTGATATGTTTCCTCCACTCCAATTTTCTTGTTAGAAGGAGTCAGCCACTATGGTTAAAGGGACCTTTCAAAGTCTGATGGATATTATATAAATCTAATGAAGAATAAATTTATTTAAAATGCCATTTCTATACACTTTTGGTAAGATTTGCAATACTTAGAAATTGTCCACAAAAATGTTAACACAATTTCTTTAACTAAAAAAGTAAGAAAGCTAAGTAGAAGAGCTTAAACATACTTGATATTAAACTGATGTGTAAAACAATGTGCACATGCAAACAGGCTTATCCAAATATGTGTATATGTGTAGAAATATCTGTATTCAATTAGTCTAGATTGTAAGTTTGCATCTCATAGATTCATAGTATTAACATATTGTTCCATCACATTGTTGATCATCTGTCTAGGTGTTTCACTGCCATATGCTTTAATGTGTAAATAACACTTCAGCATGAGCTTCCTAATGTTGATGCGCTTAAAGCTATTGTGAGGCTCATTTGTATTCTTCAGTATTTGTAGATGTTTGACCTGTCAGAACCACTTATAGCCAGTCTTTATTTTGGCACTATAATTGATAATGAAAATGAAACAACAGTGACTAACAGTAATTCTATTAGTAATTGTCAAATAGAACACAGGTAACATCACATCACCATTTAAAAGAGCATATTTTCTATTATTTTAAAAGAACGAGAATTATTATAGTTTAATATTTAATATTAGCTACTGGCTGATTCAGCACAGCTCACAGTACTAATACATTAGTGACCATGTGTAAAGCTTGAGATTGCATACAGTACATTAACTCTTTAGTCTAAAAAAAACTTCCACAATTTTCTCAATTTACGTGTTTACATGATGGCTTGATATGATAAAACAGAGAAACTTGTTCCCAATTTCTGAATGAATGAACCTCAGAAATATGACAGCTAAGTTCCCAACCGCCTGGTTGCAAACCAGTAATAGTTTGCGGGTTTTTTAGTATCAGACTGCAGTTTAAATAACTATGGAGAATAATGAGGAAGACAAGTGTGTAAGTTCAAATGGAGAAGGTAGTGTCACCCAGCACATGGACGTGTATCTTTGACAGTCAAAACTGACAAGCCTCACCTCAAGTCTTATTTGTAAATCCCAATAATATTCCCTTGTCCATGGTATAACAAAGAGGCATTACAGAGTTTTCTAAAGGTACCGCCACCTGTGGCCAAAACAAAAAACTGCAGCACTCTTTTGCTTATTCTCTTAACTTGCCTTAATCTTTTTTTATGTTCACTTTTTTTTTTACCATAACTGGAGTTGCTATTGGCACTTCTGAGTATCTAGAATGTGTCACACTTGGATTTTTTGCTAGGTCCGACCCCTTCAACATGGACGCACTTGACGTCACATCAGCCAAACAGCGCAGCAACTACCGCTCCGATGGGTCGGCGCTGAGCTACAGATGTGTCAATCTGCTGATCAAATTATGTTTTACTCATTACGCGTCAAATTATAAGGTTATTTTAAAAAGTCATTTTTCAGTACAAACTTACATAATGTCTCTTTAAATAGCTATTTGTGTGTCAAAGACTTTGCTTCACCACACCTCATTGGTAGAGCTTCAATTTAGTGAAATAAGTGATTAAAAGAGGAGTGGATCCTTGTGAGTGTTTCTGAGTGGTTTTTGATTACCCAGTCAGGCAGGTGAGTCTGAAAATAATTTCCAGTCAGTACCTTTGTACTTTATCATATGCAACTAATCACCAGAAAAGCTTTGCTGCCACAGACTATTTTTGACATGTTAAAAAATGTATGCGAATAGCAGTTATAACCCACCAATTAGATACATAGATGAACACTGTAAATACATTTTTAACAAGTGCAGCGGAAATGTTGGCAGAGACTCTGCCCTCATCACAAAATGCAGGCTAGTTGGAAAACTTGGGCAATAAACGTTACGATGACAAGAATTAGAAAACAAAATAAAATTATGAAAAATTATAATGATACTTATTATTATGGTTATAATGTGAAACACATGTATATTTAAAACAATGTGTACTTTAAATGAGAAAATGTTCGTTGCCACAGAGCTGCCAAAGAATTCTGGGAATGGTACGACCACAATAACCATTTATTATGACAAGACAAATAAAAACATCACCCCAGAGGCATTTGTCATTGTGGTTTCCACAATCATCTCAGTATGGCTAGAGCTAGTCCCTTGTCATTCTTTCATTTCCTGTTCTTAAATAAGAAACTATGTAATCTTTGAACTACTTGTAGGGCAGTCATTCCAAACCTATTTGTCAAATGCATAAATGAATGCAATATGTTGCCTCATGGGGCTGTTTTTAATTTTTCTTTGTTGGGGAGACTTTTGCCACATGCTCAGACATTTGTTGCTGCTACTGCATCAGTAGCTGTTAGCACTAACCATTAGACATCTGGAGGGTGACATTTTTTTTTATTGGATTAAGATTTAACTGAAAAATGTAGCCACTTTTCCCCAATGGGACCTGACATACGAAAGGCTTACACAAGCGGAATAAATCAATCTGTTTGAGGTGACTAAGCTCTGAGTATAGCCCAGTATAGTCCCAGCTACTGTACAACATGCAGGTGGAGAAGAAAGACGGATGAGGCAAATACACTTTCTTCGAAGCTCTGTAATCAGTTTAAGATCTAATCAGATTGTGACAAACAAGAAACTATGAGCTATAAATGATCTCTTGAGCATAGAGTGCAAAAAGATTCTGCCAATGTGCATGCTTTTTTCATTCTTTAAAAATACTGAATTCAAGGATATTTATTTATTTTATGTTAAAAGTTATTTTAAAAATGGAAAAGAGATATGAAATATAAGTTGGCCTCAATGAAAAAAACAAACAAACTTTAAAGAGTCTGAATTCATAAAATTCAAAAAGCTATCCATTCATAGATTGTTTTGTTGTTTTTATTTAATTTTAGATATTTATGTTTTTCTACATTTTTCTTTTTTTTTCCTTTTGAAAAACTAAAAGGAAACATGTCTTTCAGGTTTGTAGAGGTTGCTTTTTCTCTATAATTCTCTACATCTAGGTGTTATAAAAAAAAAAAAACATTTTCAATATTAGAGTAGAATGATAAAAGTCTTAAAAAATAAAAATTTTAAAATTAACTTTTTATCTGTATGACTTATTTTCATCCAAATTTTACAGTCTCCCAGCTGATAGTAGAAATTAAGAGTAAAAACAGCCAGAAATACATTAATCAGCCAAATCTCACTGATTGGCATTAGATTCAGAGGCATTACTCAGCACAATTCACAGGCCTCAGCAGCTCCTATCGATACTTCTTGACATACAGATAGGTGGCAGCAGAGAGCTTTGAGGCCACAACAACTGATGCCAGTGTGGCCTGTGAAGCGTCCACTATTGCACATTTTAATTGTGCAATAGTGGACGCTTCACAGGCCACACCAGCATCAGTTGTTGTGGCCTCAAAGCTCTCACTATTGCACAATTAAGATGTGCAATAGTGGACGCTGCACAGGCCACACTGGCATCATTTGTTGTGCAGTGTCCACTATTGCATAATTAAAATGTGTCTTTTATTTCATGCCAGCTCTTTCTTGGTGACTTTTTTCAGGACAGCCACAGAGGTGACACATAAAGATAAAAAACAAGGTAAGAAAGGAGAAGGACAAACATGCTGCCAGATGACGCTGTGAGTAATTATGATAGTTATGCATGATATCTAAGGAAGGTTGTGTCCAAATCCAAATAGTACTCATGGGACTTAAGTTCAGCCACTGAAGTGATACATTTTAAAAATGGATTTATCAGCTTAATCATACATGATCTTAATTTTGCATTTGCAGCGTTGAAGACTACTCCTAGAGTGGTGTCAGCGTTTATGCTCAGGGGAGTGATTTAAGACAGCATAGCATGCTCATCATGCCCCACGTCAGACTGTTTCAGTTTGCTTTCAGAGTGTATGTAAACAAATAAAAAGCCAAAGAGTTTTTAATTAGCTGCAGGACAGAGAATGTCAGCATGTATTGTCAGTTATTACACAGTAACCAGGTATTACTCTAAATATTTGGAGTGTTGCACGGTAAAAACCTGCAGTTTGGGATCATAGGTTGTTTTTTTTCCTCTGGGGTTTGGCAGAATTGCTAAGTGCCATTTTTACAATGAAAACTGCAATTAATAAAGATCAATTTAGAAAAAAATAAATGAGGTTATGAAATCTGCCATTATTGAGCAGACCCAATCTTTATTGTGTCACTGCTCACCGTATGTCTGGAACCTTGAACAAATGTTAAGGGTTACCTATAGGTTACAGAATTTAATCCAAATCACTGAGCTGCTTTATGACAGCGACAAGTGGCGGATCATTGTTTTTTTTAGTTTTTGCGTTGTCATGTCTTCAGTTTTCGTCCAACCAAGCTTGAGGAAGTGAAGAATAGAGATCTCATGACTTTGACTTGTTTTCTTTGTGTTTTTTATTTTTTAAATATTATTTGGTTATATTGTGCCAAGCTACATAATAAATATCATGCTGCTTCTGACATTTTTATTTTAAAACACAGAAATGTATATTTTTACTGTTTCACAAATTTTTTATTTTTTTCAAAATATAGAATGAATGCATAGTATATAATGAAACATTAGAGGGGACATATACTGCATTCTTTTGTGCCTTAATAAGTAACTGCCGTTAAATAAATTGATTTTGAAGAGAATTACGCTTTTTTTTTAAAACTCTTCTCATAACCTTAAGAATCTTGCAATCTGTGCCATGAAGAGTCTTTTTTTTAACGATGTGACTGTGTGAGGGCTTTTCTGGCACCAATGGGACTATTGTTTATTTAAAGCCCGCCAAATGATCAGGCTGCAGCCCACAGCTTCCAATGCTTAAAGCTTAATAGGAAAATAACAGTATCCTCTTCTTTTGTGACAGATGATTTTAAACTTCAAATGTTTGCTACTGTTTTATTGTATTTGAATTAATTCTTTTCACTTTTGTTTTTATCTAATTCTTGCTATATAATATAAAAACTATAAAATTTGTGTCATCAGTATGTTCTTTTTATCATATAATTATCCTTTGTCTGATCACATTCTCTTTGGTTTGACGCATATAAATACTTTTTGAGAAATGTTTGTAATATTCATGTTTAGACCACCCGGAAGCTGTAGATTTTATTGGGAAAACTATATAGACCTCAGCGTTTTAATTCTATACTTGCTGATCTAGCACAGGAACAGCATTTCTTTCCATGCAAAATGTTTGAGTGTAATCTTCTGACATTTGCCTGTGTTTTTACAAAAAACAGGCACACGAATTTGAATTTGATGTGGCCTCAGGAAACACCCCAGATTGCTTTGAGCATACAGGAGCTTGTATGAGAGGTGCGTGCCTTGTTAGCGCTGCAGCGTTCATTCAAAATAACTCCAACTGTGTTACAAAGGTTTGGAATTATAGGCCTTTAGCATGTTTTGTTTTCCCTTTAAAGCAAAGCAGATTGTGTTTTAATAAATACGATAGATAGCTTCTCCATAGAAAAAATAAAGAAACAGGAAGGCTAAAATATATATTAAGTTGAGAAATGTTTTCAACTTTAATATTTCATTTTAATAATTTTTTATTAGTGCTTTTAATGCCTACTCTGAAGTAATGTGTCCTTTATATACTCTATTCTAAAGTCTTATGTGTATTAAGTATTTAGATTATCTTTAAATAATCAATCATATTCATCAATTTCATCAAATTCAGTTTATCCAAATATTAGATGGATTGTTTATATTAATGTAAAATAGCAAAATAAACTAGCAAGTGATCCTTAAAGCCTTTAGTTAATTTTTGCAGTGATTAGCTGAAAGTAAACAAAAGTGAGGAAACATACTTATATATTTGTTGCAGTTAATTATTATAGTTGTTTCTGGAAAACAAACAACAATAAGAAATTATTGCAAACAATCAATCAACATTTTGTTTTTTTGATAATCATCTAAATACAAATATTAAGCCTTTTAGTGTCATTTTTTTTTATCATCATACTCAAACCATTCAAAAACTAGAGATCATGAGGACAGTTGGTTGAATGAAATGAAATAAGAAAAGCAAAGATGAACTTATTTACTTTCCTCATGATTAAAGTCTCATTATCAACACTTTAAATAAGGGCTAATATACATTTTTCACTGATTGCTTTCATACTTTGGTATAACAGCTTATTTTGATATAACAGCTTATATTGATAAACACTACATCAATATAATACTATCTTCTCCACCTGAACAAAACTGTACATAACTAAATAAGTCTATTTATGAAATAATATAAAGAGGATTTTTGACACCTTGTGTTTTAGCTTTGTTTAAACTTTTTGTTGTATTTGATTGTCACTTGAATTAGTACAAATAAGAAATAAATCAAAGAACAGTATTTCTGATACATTAGATCTTATAATTCTAATTATATGAGTTATTATTTTTGAAAACATTAGTAAAGAAAACAAAAATAGGTTTACTAAAAGATTTAGCAAGTATGTATTTTTTAGTTTTAAATGGACACATTTGAAAAGTATTTGGTAACCTCTCTCATAGATAGCATGTATACAGTACTATGTGCAATTAAATTGTTTAAATTCTAATTCTGAATTTGATTAAATAAAAAAAATTGTTCAATGATAAAAAAAATTAATCTGGGAAGGTGTTGACACATTCTTGTGCGCAGATTCAATTTGCATGTGGTGGTGTGTGTGTGCTGGTTTCCTCAAGTGTCAGAAATAATTAGATAAATGAGGAGTGAAGGGCTGGACAGGCTCTGTCAGCGGGGTTGAATTTACAACTGCATAGCAAAGCATCTACGACGCTGGCAGACTAAACAGAGACCACACCGGGTTTACAGTAACACACACCTCACACTTGTCCTCATAGTTCTGACCTCTAGATATTACATAGGAGTAAGAAAATACAAAAGAATTCTGTTTTTTTAAAAATAGGCTGATAGTCGTACTTTGTACTTTGGAATATGTTTTTTTTTAAAGACAAGAAAGGAGCAGGCATAGTCAGTAAATCTGATCTGCAAACAATGCACACCTCTGTTAAAGGCCAGGTTTTTGTGCATTTATAAGCTTGGACTGAAGAATCTTTACAAAACCATCAAATTTGTTTAATGTGTAGAGCATATTAAAATCAAAATTTTCAATTTATCCCAGCTAGACCATTCCAAAATTATGATTTAATTCCAGTGAACTCATTTATCTTTTTTTTATTTAAATTTATGTTTGAATTCTAAAATTCCTGACGTATTGTCAGTTTTTCCAGGAGACATCCAAAGACTTATTGAATAACTGACAATTAATTACATTTTTATCTAATTTTAGAAAAAGTCCCTAATGCCATTACCAAATTACTAAATATTACTGGATTACTAAATAAAGTTTGTTTAAAAAAAAAGAAGCATAATTGTTGCAACAAAAGTAACTCATTTATAAAGAATGAAGCTTGTTAGTATTTATTATAGATATACTATTGTATTATTTAGTTTGTATTACATAAAAAAACATGAATAACAATGACACTGAAAAACATCTATCTATCATCTATCATCTATCTATCTATCTATCTATCTATCTGTCTGTCTGTCTGTCTGTCTGTCTGTCTGTCTGTCTGTCTGTCTGTC